CTGTTCGCACTGGCAATGCAGCTGCCACAGCAGCGTTGCTGAAGTTTCGGGCCGACCCAAGCGTGGAAGATGCGCAGTGCCGCACCCTTGGCATGGAAGAGCCGTTGAGACTCTGACTTGCTTTCGAGGCATGGGTTCGTTCCGGTTTTGTGCGGCATGTCACTCTAGCGTTGTCGACCCGTTCCCCACCGACCTCAACATTGTCAGCATACGGCTCTCTCCAGAGAGTCCGCTGCAAGTAAAATTGCGAATTGTCGTGGTTGGCATTGACTTGCGGAAATGGGTTGGGCCTGGATTTGCAAGTCTCGTCGGGTTAAGCATTTTCGAGCCGCGCGCATGATGCAGGCATACGAGAACTGAGGCTTGACGCCGCTGGACTACACAAACCTGGAATCAACGAAACTGGAGCAGTCGGGGGTTTCCGTGGTGTCGTTGGTGGAGCTGCTGCAGAGCCAAAACCAGCAAGCCAAGGTGGGGCCTGCGCTTATTGAAGAATGTAGGACTCCAGGGTCACGAGCAGAGGGTCGGCAGCTTCATGGACCGCATTTTTTCGCATCGACTATGTGACCCAGCAGAACTTGCATACGCAGCATGCTGGAAATGCTCGAGTCTGTAAAGCATCCAACAAGCGAAACCTAAGCAGTTGTTGCAAGTTGTAAACTATGAAGCATATGTTGGCCAAAGTCGGGAGGGCTCATCATCCAGGAGAGGAAACACCCACCCATTTCGAAGCCCTGCACCATATCACTCATCGACCTGCAAGGTATGAGGTCCCAGAGCAATCGGAGACATGGTGCTTGCGGGGCGTTGCAGATTTGATGGCTTGCCGAGGTTCTGGCCACTTATTTTCATGTTCACTTTATCTGGTGGAGGCGCAGGACCCATCACAGTCAGATAAGCTGCGGTAGTCCACCAGATTTCCAAAGCTTTCTGCACCCATAAAGCTGGAAAGTTCCAAAGTACTTTCGGTTCCCGGTTTCGGGTCCTTGATGTTCGAGATTCAATCTAGTACTAGGACTGAGGTGAAAGGTTGGCATTCCTTCCGCCGGTTGGGTGCAAGCAAGATTTCCAGAAGGGCACGGCGTAAGTCGACTGGCAACCAACAAGCTAACAAATCTCCGTTTTTTGCCCTTCAACTTTTAGCGCAGGTTCCCTCAACCCCAATTTTTTCTGAAGACGGGTTTGAGGTTTGAGAAGCTACAGAAAGCCGGCGGAGGTTTCCATCCTTCTGGCATTTTTCATTTTCGGAGTTTTTTCTACACATCCATGGTAAATGTCTGTAAGGAAAGTCGGACTGCAAATCGTACCCTTCTGGAAAACATTGCCACTTTGAGCTCGCTGCAAGCCTGCGGCGCAATGTACGCCGCATAACCGATCTAGAAGCTCTCAGTGTACACGCCTGGCATGTCAATCCCGAATTCTTGCACGTTTGCAGGTTACAGGTCTTGAAAGCTGCTTTAACATGTTCAAGCGGCCAGCGGACATTCATGCTGACTGGTGTTTGTTGCTGTACACGAGAGCCCACCACCAGGAAGCCATGACCCTGTGGAGTTCAAGGAAGGTTGAGAAGCGCACAGCTGGCGTGACGAATTGCAGACCCTAATAATGCCATGCCTCGGATCTTGCCACACGCCGGCGTTCATGCAACAGCGGCTTAGCGGGCCGAAGTCTTGTAAGCAGTGGAATCAAGTGCAATAGACATCAATAGACTCAATGGATGACGACCTGCCTCAGTCCGCACAAGACCACTCGAAAGTTGTGTGTACAGTGTTGACACATACTCAAGCCAGCCACCCATTCAGATGCACAGCATCGAACTCCACAGGTGGCACGGGGTTTCCATGCGGATGCTCTGAGATGCACGGTTTCTTTGGTTACGGCTACGGGTTTTCCAGCAGATTCCGGAAGTGTACCCGGCCGTTTTCGAAGACAATATCTCGAAGACATGGAGAGCCACCAGGAGCACAAGCCTAAGTCTGAGCGCAGTTCTCAGACATACGCATGGTCATGGGGCGTTGGCCGGCCTAGCTGAGCCGCGGCAGCCAAGTGGATGTTCCTTCGGCGGTCTCGGCTGGACCTTCTCTTGATGCTGCCTCGCCGTAGGCCTTAGTCAGCCTCAGTCACCTGAATCTGACACAGTGGCACACTGATTGCGGTTGATGCCTGCTTGCGTAGAGGAGCCCTCATGGACCATCCTGGCAACCTACCAGTTGCATTTTTGGAACTGCAAAGCCTTGATCTGAAGTGTTGCAGTCCATATACATCCCAAAAGTCCAGCCTTCAAATTGAGTCTGCCGATTCCACTAGCCAGACGCGGCCTCAGCTGTTTCTCCGGGCTTGTGGAAATACCGGCTTGGGACTGGTCTCTAGCTCGGGCAACTTATTATAGTCATGCGGCAGTCGACTGGTTGTCAACAAGATGAACTTGATGTATGCTTATTCCTCACTTCCATTTGTATCAAAACCTATACACGATATAAAACGCGCGACCTAGTCAGCGAAGCGGGTTGGGAAAACAGTAAAGCGTGATTAGCTACTTTCGTGGGATTCCGGGGTTGTCCCAAATCCAACAGAAAACCTGATAGCCTCTTGAGTTGAAGCGGCAGTTTGGACGCGGAAGGGCGGTGATGGACGGGGCAGAGCAAGGAGCATCCAAGGAGCACGGAATCCATGTCGCAGGGGAGGTGACATTTCTGCCAAAGGCATTACATTAGGAAAGGCCATCTGGGAGTGTCTTGGAAGGCCATCATTGCTACACCAACAGGTTTGCATTTCTCGGGGGTATTGCACGTGCGGCGCGCTTGGGTAGGTGGGCCGAATGGCCAGCTCGTGCGACAGGCCAGCCCGCCCCGGGAACCCTTCGTCAAGCTTGCCATGCTTGTGTGTGCAACTCTGCCTTTGAGCAAGTTTGATGATTGGTGTGTCGGTGTGTTCTTTGCAGTTCTGTGCAACCCTGCTGGTGGGCCGTGGTGGGCGGTGCCATAGATACATAGGCCGACAGACAAACGGACAGAGATCTTGTCGAAGCAAAGAGCGCCACCCCCCTTTAGCCTTTCTGCTGGGCTGCTGGGCGCACGGGCTGAAATTCGGGCATAGGGGCCTGCGTGCACCACAAACTGGACTCATACCCTCGAGAAGAAAGAACCAGAGATGGCGAGCGGCGAGCGACAGGGACAGACCGACAGATGCGGAGATGGAACAAATGGTTAAGTCTATGTAGCCGCTCTGGGGTAGGAATAGATGAACAAAGATAGGCTGGTATCGGGCCGCAGCTGAACTGGAGACCATGTAGCGGCAAAACGCGATCTCACGCGGACTGCTGTGCCGCAGATCTTCCAGCCCCTACCCGGGAGGGGGCGGGGTCTGTCGGGGCTTAAGAATGCATTTCTCAGCGTGTGCCGAGTCGGGACTGCAGTTTGATTGGGTAAGCAGAATCAGCTGAACCTCCCGGTGCCGGGATCACCACACCTCGCCTCGATCCGACACATGCATGCAGAGTCATGCACATTGGCGGAGTTATGAGGTTGCATTAGCTGCCGGTCGAGCTGGTTTCAAGGTTAGTCGTGTTGGTACGGACCGGTGGCGAACAGGGAGGCTTGTGGCAGCAGCAATCCATGCTGCCACGCCTGTCCGGTAAGCGTAGAGGCCGGCAAGCAGCTTGCCTGACAGGGGATTTCGATCATGAGCCAAGTGTTCAATATTTAGCATGAATACTGTGATTGGCATTCGGATGTTTATTCTGGTGACGAAGTCCCCGAAGGCCACTCCGAGACAAGCTATTCGTACTTCGGATTGAAAATCATTGGAGACGATGGGAGAGTATGGGAGAGTCGCTCAACAGCCCTAAATGCTTTCGCCATGTGGCCAGCATGAACCCGAAACATCTCATGTGTCCCATACCCTCGAAACGCTATGTTTGCGAAGCCATTCTACAACCCAAGCCTGAGAAAACCTGGAGCTGGAAAGCAGCCCCTTGCAAGTCGTACGATCAACCGGGCACATCAAATCTGAACCAAATGCCGCAGACAACATGCGCCGAAGTCTAAGCCTTCTTGAAACGCTACGCCGAATTTGAAGGCATCCCGGGACGCAGGACGCCGACACGGAGCTGTGCGAACTCATCACCCTGTCAACAGTCTTGCGCTTGGCCTGGGGTTTAAGTGTCGGACTTTGGGGGCGCATGTGTGACAGCAAGTCTGCAACGGAGGTGCGTTTCTGTTACGTTTTAATGCGTATTTTTGTTGGCTTTCTACGCTCTGAATTCGGTTCCCGGTTCTGCCTTCTGCTTTGGCCTGCTGCTTGGCATGAGCCCGGCGAAGTTCGGAAGCATCACCCACTGCCTTGAACATCGTTCCCATGCATGTGCAGGTCGGGTTGAGAGAGCAGACGGACGAGGAGCCTCATACTGTAGCCCTGCCAATAACAGTTGTGCCCACGCAGGGCCGGTATTGGGATAACTGCGCGCACAACGCCCATCAGCCGAACATGTGGCGCTGCTAGGACATTGGGCATAAAGCGTTTTGAAGACAACACTGAAGCCAAAGTGGCAGCCTGTTCACGGACTCCCCTATCAACACGGCCAGTTTGGGACTGTGGGAATACCTTGATTTTAAAGGAGATGTGCACCACAACTGGAGCTGCGCTGGGCAACAGATAACAGTAAATCTGCAACTCAGGATCTGAATGTGTGGGAGGAACGAAGTATAAGAACTCTTGCAGTGTCCAAGCTTCGGAAGCTGAGAGCTCCAAAGATTAGCTTATTTCTCAAGAGAAACGTGCACAAGCCAATCCCCCCTGTCGCAGATGCACTGAGAAAGGGAGGTATCCGATCGTGCGGATATCTTGGCTTACATTGATTTCGTGCAAGGTGTTGCTGCAACAGGAGGCATCGCTCAACAAGCGCGAACAGTCTTATCCGGGTGTGGTTTGAATTGTGTGTTCTAGTTATTCTAGTTGCGGTAGGATTGAGCCTGGGTGCTCTGCAATGACCACTGACAGCCATGCGCTTCAGACACAGAGTTCGTCGCTGGTTGCTTCTCCTCACCCTGGGCGCTGCACGTGCTGCTGCTGGGCAGAAGGCTGGAAGGGTTGTCATCGGTCGCATTGATGCAAAGTCAGAGCTCAGCGAATCTGTGAGAGCGAAAGCAAGTCCTTTTAGTGCAAAATGCCTCCGGGCCCTTGATTCGGGCAGTCCGCCTGCTGCGCCGCCCTGCCTGGAGGATTGCATTTCGCTGCGGAAGTCTCAGGTTGCCAGCATTTTGCAGCACTTCCGCCGGTCGTTGGTGGGAGCCGGTACCGTCCGTTCCGTGGAGGAGCTTTTAGGTACCGTGTTCCGACCAAGGAGCTGTGAGGCGAGCCAGCCACTGGAGGAGGCGGTGCAAGCGGGTCGAAGATTTCTGAAGAATCTGGGATCTCTTGGCCGACGGGAGCAAGGACCTTGGTGTAGCCACAATTTTGACCTTGAGTGGTGGGAGGCCAAGAACCTCACAGGAGCCATGCTCATGCCTTGGCCATATCACATACAGCTTCTTGGTTGAAACTAGCCTTGGAGGGTTTGCCTGAGCCGCAAGAGTTGAACAACTTGCTGCAAGTAGCACGAATGCCAGCCCAGCTGAGGTTCAAGAGAGCTCTGAAACAGGCAACTGCGGCGATGATTGCCTGTGGCCTGCAGGGAAGGTTTGCACCCACCGACGGCACCCTTATCGCCCTACTGAGATACGGCCGGATCGCTTTGGATATCGGGGGATTCGTCGACCATGTAGACAAGGATATCGACCTGATGTTCTTCGTCCGAACACAGGCCGAGTTCTACTTGAAACTTGAATGCATTGTCTCCTACCTTCTGAGTCGCAACGACAAGGGCTGGAGCTGGTGGTGCTCGGGAGCATTGCAAGAGCCTGAGGGCGCAGGAGAGCTCTGGACTTTTAAGTGTGTCCTGTCACGCAGGGATGGTGGTCTGGAGACTTTCGGCAGCTCCGTGGATGTTGCCTTTTTTCGATTCTTCGTTGCTGGAGACTCATTGAGGACGGCTCGGAACTGTAGCCGAGATCATCTGTGTCCGATAAAGCAACGGGAGCTTGGCTCCGTGAAGAGCCTGTGGTTGCCTTTGGGGAAATGTAAGGCTTACGACTTCGAGCTGCCTTGTCCACAGTCGCCTGTGACCATATTGCTTCAAAGCAAAGAGCACACCGACGACTTTCAGGGCCATGTTGCACTGCCAGCCGTTGCAGTGGAACGATGCCCCTTTCACTCGGGCACTTTGCGCATGCTGCATCGTGGCCTTTCGCTGCGCCAGATGCTGACGCTGCGCGAAGAAGCCCGTCGACTCCACTTTGGAGGATGGAAATCCTTCTACCACTTCTGGTTTCATCCCGATGGGACGCCGAGGCCTTTGCCCGAAGGGCCCGTCTCGGCCGACATGCGCGGAAGCGGAAAGACTCGCTTTGCGCAGACGCCTCCTCCTCCGGTGAAGGATCCCGTGCATACTTTCATGGCCAGATTCAGGGGCCTCGCCCAGGTCTTTGCATTCTCCGCACTGGTGCAACCTACAGGGCGGGATGAGGGTTTTGCCAACGGCGTGGTACAGGGTAGCGGTCTGGCGGCCCCGGACGTATCGATCGAATGGGTTCTTTATTTCCGGCCACTGGTGAGACATGCTGCACATGCAATACTGCAACTGACAAAGTCACCACATTATTTGGCTGCTTTATGGGAGCTGAAGCCTCTGGAGGTTTGCATGGCATACTTTCTGGATACAACCTTTCGCTGTGCTGAAGCTGCCGTCGGTCGCCACTCCTATGTAGAAGGCTTGTGCAAGAGCTGGGCAAGACAACCTGCTGATGTCATTAGCAACAAGTCGGAAGCTCGCGATCGTTCGTTCCTTCAGCTTCTCTGGCTGGTTGCGACAGGGTGCAACAAATTGCCGAAAGATAACACTGGAAGCATTTGGAAGGGGCCCTTTGGTCCGTGGGCCAAGTCCGTGCGTCAAATGCTTCCTTCTGTTGAGCCGGGTCTACTGCTCACTCGGCACGTGTTTCTGGCGTCGACCGACCAGAGTGACTTGGCACCGTTACTGATCAACACAAGCAGCCTTGACTAGTGGCTAGCTGCTGTTCGCCACCGAGCAGCCCAAAGCTGGCTGCAGCGCCGCAGTCAAGAGACAGTCTTGTACCGACTTGTTCCCTTGCCTCCCCCGACTGCTCTCCCATTGCCACCGTATGGCCCACCCGACCATTCCGAACTCCTGAGGCCAAGTGAAGGAGCTCAAAGACTGTCAGGATCGCCGTTTGCCTTCCTTTTGTTGGAAATGCTTCGAATTGGGGTAGGCGAGGCCCAATTTGTTTCGGCTTTCCGGTTTAAAGTTGGGATGGCCACCAAGGTCGAGCTCGTGACCGTTGTCGTTGAACTGAGATCATGCTTGGCCCAGACGTTGTTGTTAAGCCAGGCGCCTGGCCTGGCTTGAAGACACAATGGGTATTTCGAAGGGTCGATAGTTCATTCTTTCCCGGGTGTTTGAAGCAGGGTCGCAGGCAATTTCTTCTTGTGAGTCTTGTGTGATGGCCTCCTGTTGAATCTTTAGTCGCATTAGGTGGGCTGGGGTGGCTCGCGAATGGCAGAAAAGGTTGAGTGGGGGTGGGGGTGGGGGTGGGGGTGGGTGAGGGTTTTTTTTGTTGCTCTTGCTGCGCTTGCGGCTGCTGTTGCTATCGCTATTGCTATCGCTATTGCTGTTGCTGTTGCTGTTGCTGTTGCTGTTGCTGTTGCAGTTGCAGTTGCTGTTGCTGCTGCTGCTGCTGCTGCTGCTGCTGCTGCACAAGCAAGAGCGACCCAGGCGTGGCATAGCTGCAGTCCGTCGGGAACCGGTTTGAACATGCAGCTTGGAGACATTTATCTTGCGTTTGCCATAGCAGGTTGTGATAGCTTAAGTATACTTAAGTTATTCCGGTCTGTTCCACCAAGAGCCATGATGTTTATATGTTCTGTATGGTGCTAAAGCAAGTTGGTCCCCTTGCACATTGCCCTTCTTGCACATTCTATCCGACGGCCCCAACTGAACAATCTTTCTCGTGGCGCTAAGGCGAGTGGGGGGGGCGGCTGTGTCATAGATATTCGATGTTGGGCCTGGTACAACTTGTCATGTCAAGCTCTGGCTTGTCTACCCTTGCGGAGTAGTTTCCGGCCTTTTGAGAAAGCCGAGCTCCAAGGTTTCGGGTCTTACGGGCTATGAGTGGCGCTGATGCTGACGGTAGTGCCTTCAGTGCTTCCGGTTGTTCATCGCAGTGCGAAGTCCGGCGAAGGGTCGACGTCACTCGAATCGGAACGAGAAGTTTCCAACCTCGTAATCTGGAAGGAGCAGTGATGCGAAGCCAGGTCGAACATGGTCGAACAGCTTCAAAGCATTTCCTCGATTGAAGTGCATTTCCCCTGAATCTTGTTCTATGCTCAGGAAGCGGCATCTAGGTCTGCTTCGGCTTGAACAACGATACAATGCAGACTGCTAGAAACCGGCACGACCATCTCCAGGAGAGTTCGTGCCACTGCTGCACTTGCTGTACGATCTCTGCAGCAGTTTCACTCAAAACCTGATGTGACTACAGTTGTTTGCTTCCGGACCCTCAACTTGCATGATTTGTCCTGCAAAACCTTATCTTTTTGCACCTCTGCTTCTCTTCCGGACGCATGGACGCGTTCCACCGTTGGCAAGCGCTCTGATGTGCCAACTCCGTTGCACCGGTAATGCGTGGCAGACACACGGGCGAGGCTTTTGGTGCCCACACTGTTTGCCGGCTTGGCGCAGGCAGTGATGTTGGAGGAGGATGCCTGCGTACAGAAAAACTGGCATGCGGTGCGAGAGTGGCTGCATTCGCAGATCAGCAAGGAGCCACCGCACTGGGACGTGCGGCGCGGCCTAATGGGTATGTCAGATCTGCTGCAAAGAGCTCCCAGTGCGAGCCATGATTGGCAAATATTGGAAGAGTCTGCGTGCCCCATGGGGGAGATCGCTCTCCTCTTTGCTGACTTCCTGTTGTCGGGCGACAGATCCCTTCTTGAGCTGGGCCTCATCATGATGCGGAGGACTGCTGGCTCACCTGAGTCCCATAATCGCAGCATTTGTGTCTAGCTTCACTGCCCGCTGCTAGCTGGTGTTGGGTTAAATTACTGATGTCGCTTCGTTTCCGCTGCTTGCAGGTTGTCGGTCTCCCGAGTGCTGATCTCTACATGGCCTTTGTTCGGCTTGCTTCTCCAAGCCCGGGAGGCGCTGTCTGCACTCGGGGACGCCTTTGCCGAAGTCTGCGAGGAGGCCGCTCCTGTGGCGGCAGAGATGGAGCGCCTGGGACCTGGCCTAGGCAACAGCAGCCTGCTGCGGTCCTTCCGCCGGAAGATCGAGGGCCGCGGCCAGCTGGGCAGCTGCTACCGGGACAAGCGGGCCCGGGCAGCTGCTCACCTTCTCGCTGCCCTGGCGTCGCACAGCAGCTTTCACGATCCCAGATCGCTCGAATCGCTGGACCTCTCCAGCTTCGCGGAGGAGATGGGCACGCAGTGGCCCTGGTTGCTTTTTCGAAACCACTGGCCAACACTCTCCTTGCTTCACCAACTGCAAGTGGCCTGGCGAGAAGCGGCTTGCTCGCAAGCTTGGCCGGATTCATATGGACAGCTGACGGTGGCAGCACCGGTAAGCACCTGGATGTGCACTGTACCGTGGCCAGAGAGAGAACGCAACCGATGGCTTTATGCTGGCCACTATATCGACTGCACGAGCATTGTTCGGTCCGTGCTCGACAGCTATTCCCCTTGCCTTGTCCTCGATGTGGGTGCCAACATGGGCTGCATTGGGCTGAGTCTCGCCAAGGAGCATTTTCAAGTTATTGCTGTGGAGCCAGGGCCAAAGATGTCCCATCTTTTGCGAGGAGCTGCTGCCAAAAATGGCTTCTCTCTGGGCCAGCTGACAGTTGTGGAGGCTGCTGCAGGATCCACTACAGGGTCGACGGTGTTATATTGCGGGAACAGCAGTGGCATGTGTACCTCTGCAGTCACCTCTGAGTATCTGGAGGGCCGAGATACGCAACACACCGTCCAGCAAGTAACCTTGAGCAGTGTCGTAGGGCAGCGCAGCAAAGAGGTTTGTGTCATCAAGCTCGATGTTGAGGGCAGTGAAGAGGATGTGCTACATGGCGCGGATCTTGTACTGCGAGACGGCACACCTGCCATATACATTGACATCCACGAAGCCACCTGGCAGTTAATGAGGCCCCACCTTCGTCATTTCGGTCCACGGCTGGGCCAGACCTAAACTTGCTTGCGGTTTATCTTTGATTGGTTTTGTTTGACGACGTGTGCAACGCTTGAGCCCCAGGACATGCTGCGGAAGCAAGGCAAGAATGTGGCTGGAGTATGGGATGTGTTAAGCAGGCATGGGTACCGGCAGTTGGTAGATTACTCTCAGCTGGACTGCCTCTATGTCGGCCAGCAACGCTGGAAGGATTTCATGTGGCAAAAAGGGTTGGACCTGAAGCACTTGCTCACGTTGGAAGCTCCATTTCACAGCAGCCCCTGCTTTTGTCATTCCGCCTGTGCCGAGCGAATGTTCTTGGGTTGTCGCTGTTGGGATTTCGGCCACGGATCAGAGTCGGCGGACACAGACGGCTCTTCGGAAAGGAGGTGGGGGCCTTAGTCGCCCGAGTCCACATAAGTTTGATGAAGCACCGGCCAAAAACGGAAGCAAATTCTTCGACTCTTCGAATTCACTGCCGACACAAACCCTCCGTTCTTGGCATGTATGGAAGGAACCTCGACAATTTTCTTTATCGAGTAGATAGACCGTGTCTGTCCATATGCTCTTTGAATGAAATGTGAAGCTCTCTGGCACACTGCGTTGGTGAGCCAGATTCAGATCTGCTGGCTGTAAAATGTCAGTGCATACACACACACGCACACAAATATCAACGAATGCAAAGATCCGCATAAATCTGAACAAACAAATAAGAAGGTTAAAGTCCAAATGACCATAAACAAGCATAAAATATCGCCAACAGATAGGTAGGTAGACAAATCCATAGTTATGAACATGTATAGTCCAAACGTGCGTTCGAGAGTCCAAGCGAAGCCTGCCAGACGGCATGGTAGCAGTGACATTGGTTGACCTGCCACGTGCTCCGTCAGTCTTAGTGCCGTGGCTCGAGGAAAGCCTTGAGTTCCTAAATCCCCACAAAGTGTGCTGAGGCCACAGTGCAATTTGTACTTACGGTGTCCGACTGGATGGTCGCAAGCGCAGGATGGAGTGCCCGCCATGCCACTGCATATGTTTAACTTTCCATACGATGAACCCGCAACCTCAAGCTGAGATGATAGCCCACTACAGACGCCAAGCTTCTCAAGAATTTCGATGGGTGTCACTTGAGACTAGATTAGCGGACGAGCCCATCGTCTGTAAGTCACAGCAGCTAAACCAGCTTGCCTTGAAGGACAGAGCGAACGGCCTCGTGCCATCTGTGGGCTGGTTTGCGAACGACTTGTTTGGGCGGTGGATTGTGACGAAGTGAGCAGCCCAGGAAAAACAAGGGCGGAGGCGCGGCTTCTCTACGTGTTAAGCCTTCTAAGCCACTGACCCCGTGTGCAAAAGTGCCGATTTTCCGCGAGCATTTGCACTCGATCCCGAAAGCTTATCGTCGCACTTCAATCAAAAGTCGGCATGGTTGCAAGTCTGCCTCGTACTCTAGATTCTCTAGATAAGTCGGGCACATGTTTAACGGTAGTGTGGAGACTAGTTGTGCCATGATTGCCTCCAAGCTTCCCTGCACGATAAGCTCCTGCAAACCTGGCTGGCGGACTGCTGGCTTTTGAAAATCCTGCAGAAGGCTGAACCCTCTCCTAGGCTTTGCCGGTCCAGACGAGGAGTGGGTGGAGGCTGCAGGTGGGAGCTTCCCGAACTCCCAGACAAAGTGTGGCATAAGAGGTCAACGAGAAGGTCACGATGTTCAGCGAGGTATTTTGAATGCACCCATCATGTCGCAGAAACACTCGCAGATCCTAAATCCTAAGAGCCTGCACGTTGCAGGTACTAAGGCCAAGACTGGCACCACATGTCTGGTCAAACTTGTGTGCAATGCTCTAGCACTGCAGTATCCCGCCGCCGGAACATCAAATGCAATTGCAATTGCCGCAGCTGCTGGCACTGCCAGGACGAGAGCAGGAACCGTCCGCAGCGCAGAAACTGCACAAAACCTTTACATATAGCACCTACACGTGCCGTTCTCCGGAATTGCTACTAAAAAGTTAGGCTGAAATCACTCGAGCCGGAAGCAGCCCCCACAGGCCTCGTTTGCTTGCTTGCCAGGTGTCTAACGGCCTTGATGTCGTTGTTTCATGGAGTGAGTCCCAGATCTTCCCACAAGCTGAGGCGTTGGACAGTGCCGTATAGCAACAATAGAAACGATAGTGACTCACAGCCGAAGCAAAACCTGATGATAATGATAACAAGCGGTTCCCATGGTAGTGAGGCAGAGGACAAAACCAGTGCCCTAAACGCGGGAACTGGGTGACAAGGATGATGGATCGACGCCAGACAAGTCAGCAGCCATCAGGCAAGAGATGCACAGGAGTCTCCCTTGTGTGTCTTCCTCGTTTTGCGTAGAGTCGAAATCGATCATTGTACCGAGACTCGAACTCATGTTCCGGGTCGTAGTTGTGATAAGTACGGAAATGGCCTACGGCCTATACTCATCAAAGGAGCACTTGGTACGGCATTGCCAACTGTGCAAGGATAGCTTTTCTACACTTCTTAGTTATTAGTGGACCCCCCTCCCCCCTCCCCCGACCAAAACCGCGCGGCTCGAATAATGTGTGGCTTTCACTAGGTTAGAAGGGAATTGCGGGATCCCAGGGTTTCTGGGCTGGCTTGGGTGGAGGGTCTGCGGTTCTCCGCGGATGCCCGGGTCGGGGTCGCGGTTCTTTTCTATTCTATTCTAAGTCTTTTCTTTAATGTAAACAAACAAACATACATACATACATATATGGATATGTACATATACTATACTCTACTCTACCCTACTCCACTACACTATACTACATTTTGCTGTACTGACTTGGTAGACCCGAAACCCTAAACCCCTTAGGAGCCCAAACCCTAAACCCCAATCCCCTAAACCCTACACCCATTCGGAAAGTCCCTAAACCTTAAGCCCTAAACCCTAAACCCTAAACCTTAAATCCTAAACCCTAAGCCCTAAACCCTAATAGAGAACTGTAGTCAAGCGTTTGTGGGCGGCTCGTAGGTTCAAGTCTAAGACTCACCCGATTTGGGTTCCGGATGACTATATGCCCCCTAAACCCTAGGCTAGGCTGTAGGGCTTGGGGTGTAGGGGTTTAGAGGGCTTGGGATTTAGGGGTTTTGGGGGTTTCAGGGTTTAGGGCTTCAGGATTTAAGTTTTTAGGGTGCAGGCCCATGCCTCACATGATATCACCGCAATCCTTCAGGGTCCATGAGCCCATATATACATGTAGGCCTCAAAGTAGTGCCTATATAAGAACTTTAGGGCAAATTCGACACTGTATGAGTGCATGGACCCTTGACCTACTGCAAGGGCCCAGGTGCCCAACAGTAAGGCTCTAGATCCCAAATACCAGACTCTGCATGGAGTTTGGTTTCTACAATGCTACTGTTTGAGCACATGACTCTTACGAAAATACTGTCTGTGGCAAATGGCCTTGGGCAGGGCTTGGGCATCCAGTTCAGCAGCGTGACTGGTTTACGGTTGATGGTTTTGCTTCGTTTTGGGGTTTAGGGACGGAATGTACCAGTCGAAAGCCCGTTCTGTAGGACAAACGTATGGCAAGAAAAAACTTGCCTTGTGTCCCTAAACCCTAACCCCTAAACCCTATAAACCCTGAACCTTGCATTCACCTCTTTTCGAAGCCTTAAGCTGGCTTCTCTCCAAAGCTGCCGTCTCGAAGTCGATGAGCTCGCCATGAAATCAAACCCTCTTATCTGAAACCCTTCTTTACCGGAGCTTCGCTGGGAAATAGTTGCTGTGTTTTGTTCTAGTACACCGCGGTGTATCATTTTTTTTTTATCAAATCTGTAGGTAAATCTACACATGATATGTATATGAGTCCAAGCGGGGCTACGACCATGCCCTTTGTCCTCTTCGCGTTGTCCTTGAAATGGTTTGCAGTACACGGGCAGCTTAGGGCACTATCCCTTGGAGCACAGGTGCACGACGCAGTGAGCGAAGGCACTTTGCAGGTGTTCATGTACACATTATCTCGAGGGGAACGGGGACAGAGCCGAATCGAAGGTGCGCGTCCTGGCTGTTACTTTGTGGCCGAAGTGCAAGCACATACCTGCATGGTACTACGTCTGTAGTATGTTCAGGCAACTATTATACATACACGCATGTATACATACGGATACGTATGTCTTACGGGAAATAAGACGGCCTCTATTTGGCCCTGATCTCCGCGCCTTGATGATCGTTTGCGTGTGCAGCGCAAAAAGTCAAGCCTGGAAGCCATAGAGCAATGGAGCATGCCAGGTTTGGAGCCGTAGAGTAGGACTTTCGGTTTCAGAGTGTGGAATGCGGATTGGGGAGGTTCACGGCAACTATCTCAGCTGCATTTGGAAAAAACAGCCGCGGTAGAAATACCATCTGATGTTGTTGTTTATTGTTGGGTGTGGCAGCTTCGCAGCAGCTGCTTCGACTGTTGATGCCTACCTCAAACAGCCTAAACCCTAAACCCTAAAGCATTTCCCCTGCGGCAGCCAACTGAAGAGCCAAGCCCCCTTGGATCGTAAAAGGTGCTGCCTCCGAGTTCGCTAGGCCGCAGCTTGCCTCTGACCGAAGGGTTTTGGGGTTTCAGAATTTCAGGGTTTCTTAGGGTTTAGGGTATAGGGTTTAGGGTTCAGAGTTTAGGGTTCAGGGTTCTGTGAATAGCGAAGTATCGATGCATCTAGAGTGGCATTGCCATCTCAGCCACTGAAGCAGCCAATTCGTAAAAGCTCTTATGCGGTTTAGTAGTAATATAGGGGCCTTAACAAAAATTAGAATAGGGTTTGGGGTATAGTATACTATACATATAATAAGGAACCCCCCAAACCCTATTCTAATTATTAAGGCCCCTACATTACGGTCTCCGCTTTCGCTTGACCACATGAGCTCGTCTCTGACCACACGGTTCCCTGAATCTAGAAGTACGGTTGACACTCAGCACAACCATGCCGGGGCATCGAGTAGGAAAGCAGGCATGCGACAGTTCGCCGAAGTAATCTTCGCTTGGTACTCCCTAGACCCTACTCCCGAAACCTTTTGTGGCTTGCCAAGTGTTCCCATGGCTGCTGCACAGTTGTCTCCCGAGAGCGATTCGCTGGCGTCTTGTTTCTCTGGCAGGGCCTCATTCCTTACCTGCTGCTTAGATCAGAGCATGACCGAGTGTCCAGTGGGTGGGATAGACAGCCCTTGTTGCATGAGAGCTACGGGACCTAGTCGTTGGCTCATTGAATCGCTTCGCTGCTGGCATTCCCTCGGTGGACGGGGCACTGCTTATGGAGCTGGGCCCCTCAGGAAGTGGTGCTGCGGTTCCGGTTCAGACAATGACCAATGCTTTGCAGGTGACTTCTCAGCCGAGCGGTGTTGTGTGAAGCCACCAGTGGTAGCTGTTGCGACTGCTTTGTTGTCGAGACGGGAGACTTGGAGGTCCATCGGGGAGTCGTATCATGCCCAGTGCCAAGGAGAGCCGCAGCATGTTTCTGGAGTTCGCTGTGTTCCTGACTGGCTTTCAATGGATTATAGTGGGCTGTTCAGCCATCTTTTATATTGCGGTCCCAAGGTGAATTCTTTGGCATTTCACCTTCTGATGATGGTCAGCATGAACTATGCTCTTTACATGCACGACCCCGGGCCTGACTTGGCTGGGCACAGCAGCATGCTGCTGTCGAAGTGTTTCCGTTTTTACGACCGGACTCTGCGTGCAAACAGGTTTCATGCACTAAGAGCTGCAACTGTCGTGCTGCTCTCGCCCATGATCCATGACTTTGATGTCCTGGTAGAAGGCCTTGCTCTGCAACAGTTGACTTCGCTGGCGGCTAGCGACCCGAGAGCACAGACATTGGGCCTCCCCACCTCGGACAATGGAACATGGTCATGGCCGGTGTTGCGCTTGCGTCGTGCCTATTGGAAGCTATCTGCAAACCGCTATCCTTTCGCTTACGGATCCTGGGCTCAGCCCCATCACTCCTTGGACCTTTCGCATTGCTATGTCGGGGACACCACCAGTGGTACCAGAGTTTACAACTCCTCGCTCCTAAGAACACTGCTACTCGGTAGGCCTTCGGGACATGTAGAATTTCACTGGAGCCCAAGAGGATCTTATTTGCGAACCTAAACCCTAAAACCCTATACAGTTTTACTCTTCATGCTGCACACGAGAGAGTTTTTGGGACGCAATAGGGCCCTAGTTGTGACAACAACCCGAATATGTTTCAAAGGCTTTAAAGGGCCAACCTAGTGCCTAGTATACTGACCCCTTAGTCCCCTTTATCAGTCACCGTATAGCCTAAGCCCTTAAACCCGAGACACCCCCTAAACCCCTAAACCCCTAGACCCCTAAACCCCTAAACCCCCAAACCCTAAACCCCCAAACCCTAAACCAGTAAACCCTAAACCCTAAACCCCTAAGCCCAACCCCAAGGGCTACCCTTAGGCTAACGTCGCCGCAGCAGAGCGCCGACCTGGGCTCCGCTTGGATGCTGGGCCTGGACCTCCGGATGAAGCAGCTGACGCTTAGGTAGAGAAGGTACGTTTTGAAAAGGGTTCTAGGGTTTAGGGTTTAGGGCCTAGGGTTTAGGGCTTAGGGTTTAGGGTTTAGGGTTTAGTAGAGAGAGTACTCTTCAAAGGGTTTTAGGGTTTAGGGTAGAGAAAGTACCCCTTGAAAGGGTTTTAGGGTTTAGGGTTTAGGGGCTTAGTAGAGAAAGTACCCTTGAAAGGGTTTAGGGCCTAGGGTTTATAGGGTTTAGTAGAGAAAGTAACCTTTAGCCTTTTTTGGGGTTGAGTCTTTAGGGTCTACTATAGTCCCTGTAGAGTCTGTAGCCCTTAACCTTTCCGTGGCTCAGGGCTTCGCCTTTTTACGTTTCTATAGAAGTAAGTAAGGTTTTGCCATTGGGGTAATTTTCTAAATTAGGGTCCCTTTTATAAGGGTGCCGTTCCATATTAGGGACCTAAAAAGGGACCCTAATGTAGAGAACTACCCATGAGCTCTTCTAGAAGCTGGAGTCAGGAGGAACATGCCCCTAAACCCTGAACCCTAAACCCTAAACCCTAACCCTATTTAAGTCAGGAAGAACATGCGAGGCAGGGCCCTCACGTGTCTGACCGGTGCTGGCGCCATCTTTGAGGAAGAGTCCTACTTGCTGCACACGGTGCTTGAGGAATCCCTTGCCAGGAGCTCGCCGTCGGGATTTTTTGCTTAGGGTTTGGTGCACTTGCCCATAGGCCCCTAAGTAGTTCCTTTTTGGGATTCCCTTATAGGATTCTGAATATAAACCATAAAAAGGAACTACTTAGGGGCCTATGGGTAAGGCTACGATCTCCCACTTAGACTTAGCCTGACTTGCTGACTTGAGTGCAACTAGCAGTCCAACGAGAAGGCCCCGGTCTCGATGTCCTGCCGCCAGGAGCTATGACATCGAGGCAGCACGGTTCCATCCAGCTGGGAAGGTGCAGACAAAGTGCATCACAGGTGGCACCCTGGCTGAAGCACTCTCAGCAAACGCTGCTGGCATGGTGGTTCCGTACTGCATCCGACTGGCGCTGAGACTAGGCTTCATATCCGCGTCTCTCGCTGATCCGCTCCTTTCACGCTTCCTTTGACCATGAGAAATGGGCTGGGACTTGAATGAACCTTAAACCCTTAGTCCCAAGCCATTGCTTGGATGAGCTACAGGCCTAGACATCCAGCAGTGTTGACTCTCCACTAGAGGTCAGCGGACTCACACATGTAGAGCCGCCACATTAACAGTTAGTGATCCAACTCCCATATAATAATAACCCTAGAGTAGTAGAATTCCTGTTTATAACCGCATAATCAGTAGTAGCATGACAGTATCCTTATGGCAGCCTCTTAGAAATCGTGTAATAACCTTATTCTAGTACCTACGGTTGATGATATAAATCCCGCATTACCCATAGCAAGGAATATATCATAATTCCCACAGTTAAGGGTCCTTAAGGCAATGCAAGACTTAGATCATCACGGTAGTATCCTTATGGCAGCGCGCAAGTTTTAAAAAGACTACAGAGGGGTCCCAGATGCATCAGAGACTCCAGAGCTCGAGATTCTGAGTTCAGGGTTTAGGGGATGAGGGTTTTTGGGTTTCGGGTTCTGGGTTTCAGGTTTGGGAGTTGCGGGTTTAGGGTTTGGGGGTTTAGG